GTTTCTTTGATAAAGTGACCTTGAATCTGGAACTTGACCACAGTGAAGTGGGGAGTGATGTCTAAAGAGAGTAAGAGTGCTTACTTTGGAGGAACATCAAGAGCTTAGGGAGCAGGGAGGAGGGTGAAGAGATATGGCTGCAAAATGGTGGCTGTGAAATGAGGCAACACGTTTAGGTACCAAGGGAAGGAGCCAGCAGAGGGAGAAGCACATCCACAAGAGGGTTTTCATGGCTGAGGTTCTTGAGAAGGGGACTCAGACATCTAGAAGGAATTAATTGTGATGGTAGAAACAGATTTCATTATGCAGTGCAAAGAGGAAGAGGATCAGCTTTTAAAGTGCTTTTTTTGTCCTTGTGTGCATGGATGGCAGGACCCTTTTAGAATGTGCCCCATAATGGTTTGGGGTCCCTGGTACCCCTTCGTTGCTTGGTTACAGATTCACGACTAATTTGACCGGTCTACAGTGAGATGTTCCTTTTTTCCTTTCATCACAGGAGCGGCAGATTGGGGTCTAGTTAGTTCTGGAGGTGAGGTCATCTTCTTAGAGGAAGGGAAAATGTGGCAGAACTCCAAGTTTGAGGAGCGTAGAGAAAGCCTGAAGTAACTTCACAGAAAATAGTGACAGCTGAGGAGGGATGCCCACTGGGGTTGCTGGCCAGAGCTTCCCCCTAACGGCCAACTCAATGCGGCACCAGCATGCTCAGTGCAGCTGGGTTGCCCAGATGATGAGCCAGAGAGGTGAGTGGTCTGGAATGTGGTTCTGCTTTGTTAAATGCTAAGGAAAGATCATGGGGCCATGTTGGAGAGACTAAGGTTGGAGTACTGGAAGTGGATTTAGCACAGAGAAAGAGGAGTAGAGGCAGGAGAAATAAAGAAGGGAAGTGTGGGGTTGGTCAGAGACCTTTGGGGACCCAAGAATAAGCCGAGTGGGAGCTCGTGAGAGACCTAGAAGGAAGTTGCAGTCAGTGCATAGGTGTTTGACTGCAGAGGTGGGGAAGTTCTGAGTACCACGCAAGTCCAGGATGTGGCCTTAGGAGGGCTCACACTGACTTGTCATTGCAGGGATCCTCTCTTTGACCTGGTGTTCATGTGGCTTTTCTGCTCCTTTCAGCTACCTCCTGTCTCAGAGATCCTTTCCTAGTCTGTGGCTCAGCGAGAGGAACTCACAACATCTTTTCTAACTTCCGGAGAAATTTCTTCCACATGTGTCTGATTCATTTGCGTTTACAGAAACTTGAAATCTCCAGTGTCCAAAACTCCTTTCAACTGTTATTTTTCTTCTCTTTCTTAGAAACAGGAAGTTGTGTTTGGCAGATGACAAACTCTTCCAGTGCCCCCGGGACTTACAAGATGTTTGGAATGAGGAATGGTCAGATCTGGGGGGATGGTTTCTTTACTCCCCCCTTTCCTGGGGTAATCATGTGTCTGCCAAGGGTAGGGTGGACTGCCATGGTGATGGGCTGGTCGGAACTTCAGTTTCTTTTGCTGAATCCAAGCCTGAGTGAAAGTATGTTCTAGAAGAGACAGGTGCCCTTGAAGACTGCATTATTTCTCTCTCCCTGCATTAGCATTCTAGCTCAGAATGCAAATATATATTGGGTTTCATCCTTTGCTTCCTAGTGTTTATCTGAACAGTGTCTGTGAGGAGCCATTTTATGGAGCTTTTTGAGGTGTGTGGTGTGGTCCTCAATTTTAAGCAAGGAAGGCCAACTACTCCCTGAGCAGAATCTCAGAGAAACTGAAGAAGAACGAAGCAAGCTGTTAAGGAGCACACGTATTTTGATAAAGTCTCGAAGGCTGACAGATGCCTGGGAAAGGCTAGCAAGGTGCCTGGGAGCCATGGCAAGCATGGAGGTTCCAAGCCAACCATGCTGCCCACTCAGTCATTCTTTTATTTCCCATTGGTGTGTTATTTTGTACCATTTAGAATTTTTTCATATGTAAGTTTGATAGAACCATCACATGTCATGTTAGTGATTATCCAGACCAAATCCACAAAAATGTCAGCCTATATGGCCAACTCCTTATTCTTTCACATTTCATGTGCAGCTTTTTCAAGGCTGCAGGCTCGACTAGAGAACCATAGGGGGAAACACCCTGGGTGCTGCAGGAGAAACTTCCACCAAAAGCTGTCCTACAGCGGAGGGCCACCATCGGCAAGCAAATCCTTGTCTGCTTCTCAGGTGGACATGCAGCTACAGGGCCCCCTTCCTCTGCTCCCCACCCCAGCCAATGGCAATGCCTGCTCATCTGGGGGTGATCAGCTGCCTTCCCTGTCTCCATCATCCCCTGTCAAGCCTCATTTTGGCCATGCATTCAATAATTTAGCTTCAAGTGGGTGTCACAGCCAGTGGGAGTGCTGAAGCTGTTGCATCACAAGGCCGCAAGCCCTGGGGTAATGTTGCATTTGATTCATAGGTCAGTTCCCCTTTCCTTCCACTCTTGTACACAAACTTCCCCTAATCCTAAACTGACTCGTGGCTTCCTGAGGGGCCTGGGAGCTGAGGTAGAGTGTGTGTGGGAAAGGTGGCTGTGGGCTTGCGAGTCTCTTCCCACAACCAGTGGAGACTCGGATGCAGAAGTCTGGGCTGTGTGAAGACCTGGCATGAAGCAGCAACGCCGCCTTCTCACTTTACAGACTCAAGAATGCAGTGGTGACAAGACCTCTTTATTAGCCCTGCAGCACAAATCGAAAATATCAAGAGAAAGCAATAGTCAGCGTACTCTTAAGAACTTTTCTAGGGTTCTTGTGTGTTTTTTGGTTTTGTTTTGTTTTTGGTGGAGAAGGCAGTAAAAAAACATGAAGAGGACCAGAGAAAAATAAGAACTACACATTTGGACTTGGGAAAGGAGGGGGTGTCTTATTATGAGGACCCTCTTGGTTAAAAAGTCCAGAGTGAAGGATCTAGAAACTAGTGGACATCAGCAGAGAATAAGAGATGGATCTAGTGGGAAGGTGGGCCCATCACTCCTGGAAAATGTCCCTGGGGTGGTGTGCTAAAGCAGATCATAATGTTGCATACTTTTGTAAATTCACCACCCTCTCTGGTCAGCTACTGAGGCATAAAGGACAAAGAGTAAACCTAGGTAAGGGTTTCCTTCTTTTAAGGAGCAAAGGTTGGATGTGAACTTTGATGCTAATGTACCACTTTTGGAATACTTCTGGCAGGTGCTCAGAGGTAATGACCATGTTAGGTGCCAAGACAGAGCCATTAGGAATCCCATCAGGGGCACTAATATCCAGTGGGAGCACTAGCTGGAATATGCAAGCTCACAGCACAGGAGATTCAGTTTTCCCTTCTCTGGGATAAAAGGGTGGTCATGGTTGGCCAGGAGAAAGAGTGCTCTCTCTCTGCAGATCTGTTTTCTAAGTCCCCGAGCTGCAGCTGTTGAATTCCCAGACACAAACAAGTATGTATTCTGTGAGCCTTGCCGAGCCCACACAGCAAGGAAGAGCCAAGCTGGATTCCATTCTGCTTTGCACATCAGTGGCTCTGCTGCCGGCTGAACTCCAGGGCATATGCTGTGGCTGGTAATGATGCAGGCAGCAAGGATGCCACAGCTGGACTGGCAGTGGCAGTTAATGAGGGACACACTTGGCCTTGATTATTTTGGGAGAATGAGAAACGGAAGGAGATGAAGAGCTGCAGAAAGATACTTCAGCCTCAACAATGCTGGGGCACAGCAAGGAAAGCTCTGGCTTTACGAGTCGTCATCAACATGCTGTGTATGTGCTTGTTTATGTTTAGGTAAGCCTGGCCTCCACTCACTGGTGAGTCAGCGGGCTGGGAAAAGGGGTCAATTCTGCATCCAGGGCCACCGTGGTGTAGAGTTTTGTGCACCATCCACAGGGCAGGGCAGGCACACCGAAATCTCATTTGCATTGCTTTGTGCCCCAAGGGTCTGAGCTTCCCCGAGGGCACCCTTTTTCTCTTTCACCCCAAAGTTCCACAGACCTCCTCTCTGTTCCTGTCACCATGTATTTGAAGCATCTTGGGAGAAAGCTAAAGGGAAGGACCAAGATATTACCAGTGATGGAAAAGGGGAAGATGCAAATTTGGACATTTTGTTCTTTTTGCTAGAGGGCCACTTCTTGATGTTGGCTGTTTCTTTTCACCCATTTCTGCCTGAGGACTAAGTTCCCCCATATCAGACTCTTGGGAGGATCAAGTGAGATGCGTCCTCTGTGCCAAGAAGCAGCGGGAAGTTATGCAGAGGAACAGCAGATCTGAGAGGTGCGCAGGGAGCTATCAGGTGCCTGTGGGGATGCTTTTCTGAGCAAAAGGACTGACTGGGATCATTGCAAGGTGCTTGGGACAAAGAGTTGTGGGTTGGAGTGAAATTTGGTGTGGACAGCAGGAGCTGAGGCATTGGGATGATGTTCCTAAGATGTCCCTAGGGTGCCTCAGATCCTAAGAGAACCCTGTGCCCCCAGCTGGTCAGTATGTAAGTGTGAGGATGGGGATATGTGCAAAGAGTAAGGCAAGAGCCTTTCTCAAAAGAATAATGAGTCCGGCATTATCACATAACTGCCATTACCTCCGAATTGGAAGTTTCCACTGGAGCAGTGGTACTCAAATCATGGTCTCCAAAACCAGCAGTCCCCACGTTACCTGGAAACTTGTTAAAAATGCAAATTACCCGTCCCTCCATTCATGACCCGTTGAATGAGAAATTCTTGGGGTGGGGCCCAGCAGTCTGTACTTTAAGAAGCCTTCTGGAATAGCCTAAAGCCCATCCGATGTTTGAGACCCACTGGTCTGGAGTGGAGAGTTGTCACCGTAAATGGGGTTCGGCAGGCTCATTTCAGGATGAGAACCCAGAAAGAGGCCAGGAGGGACTCAGTGAACTGCCAGTTTGCCTGTGTGAGTTCAAGTAGCGCTGACCTAGTTGGGTCTTTGTGGGCTCTGGGTACCCTGCCATTCCCAAAGAAATACTACACAGAGCAGACCACTACAATGGGATAAGATCATACTTTAGTTTAGAGACACATTTGCTTAAATACTTGACATGATCCAGCCCTGCAGGTGGGAGCCTGAGAACAGGTGGCTTCCATAGTCCTGCAACTCTGCGCCAGTTAGGTAGTGGGTTTTAATACTGAAGACAGCCATGGTCATTTCTGAAGACAGCTCGGGAGTGGAACCATAGAGCTTGCTTTGACATTCACCATTCACTCCCCGGCCCCACCCCTCTGTTTCACTAAGTCTTTCCCCTCTGAGGTAGATTATTTATCGGGGAAATCAAATAGAAAATGGTTTTCATTTGTGTTTGCTAGTCCTTTGCAAATGGGCTGACTGAATCTCCCATTTGGGTCAATAAGTGCACATTTGTATCTTTTAACCTATGCCTTCTACTTGAACAAGGTCCACTCCACAAGGTGTAGACTGTTGTCCCCATCCTCTTCTCCCTCTTATGAATTCATGCCAAACTGGAGGGGCTGTGGCAACGGGAGGCCTGGGCAGGCCAGCCCACGCCACCTCTCTACATAGGGTCACCGTAGTGGGGACCCTCGTCGCACCCCAGGGCCCCGAGTCTATGAGCACAAGTCTGGCTCCGGCTCCCCTGAATCACAGGGGGCACAGCTGGCTTCCGCAGGGCTTGGCATCCTCAGGTTTCAGAGCCTTGTTGCAGGTGGCTGAGGCCTGGCCTGACAGGTCGCGACACTCCACTGTCCTCCGCTGCCAGCCAGCACCACAGCTGCTTGAGCACTCGGACCAGTCCCCCAGGACCCACCGCGCATTGAGCAGGGGCTGGATGACGTTGGTGGTTGCTTTCTCTTTGCTGTTCTGTATGCTGAAGTTCACCTCATTAGGAACAAAAAAGGTATATTTGACTTTGGGGGGAAAGACCTCACCAGGGACGGTCAGGAGCTGCACAGTCAGAGGCTCGGGCAGGGGCCGGAAGCTCTGTAGCCGCTCCAGGGTGGCAATGGAACCACTGTACTTGAGGATGGTCCCTTTCACCAAGATGTCCTGTTCTATAGCTGAGATGGCCAGGTTTCCGTTGAGCAGGTACTGCCCGTCAGCCGTCTTCAGGGCCAGGTAGTTGCCGTCATTCTGGACCCCCGAGGGGCTCCGCTGTTTCACATCAATATTAGTGGCACCGGCTGGGATGGTGACGATGTCATTGTAGCCGTAACTGTGACAGGAAGGAGAGACAGTTAAGACACAGCTCAGTACCTCAGGAAGTAAGCATGCTGGTGACTGGGGCTGGGCAGACAAAACCCATGAAGCAGTAACTCAGCAGCTATCCCAAAGTTCTAAATAAATCAGCGACTGAGGCTGACAGGAATGTCTGTACACTGAGATTTTCAAGGACTTGTGCTTTGTCTGGCAACTCTCTTAGAAATACTTGTATTGAGGCCCTCCCTGGTGGCGCAAGGTGTTAAAACACAGCACTATGAAGCTATTCACAGACACTGCAGCATGAGTTCCATCCCCGGCCGGGGGGTGACCCACATGGCACAGCAGACCTCTCTTGTCTTGTCCACTGCCCGCCTCTGCAGTGTATTTCAACAGATCTTACTGTTCTGCTCCCCACTCTGTCTCTGGTGATTCCTTTCACCCCCCTGCACCTCTGGCCTGTACTCTAGTTCCTGTGCGCATAAATAAATAAATCTTAAAAACAAACAACAACAAAAGAAATGTTGGTATTGAGTGTCGATGTCTGGGTCATGACAGCAGCACAGAGGGGTAGGCAGCCCAGAAAAGCCACGTGGGGCTGTCAAACCTGCCACCTTGGTGTATGTGCGATGCATCACTTCCCAACCCAGAGCTCACCCAACTAGAAGTCTGCCCCACACACCCGTTCTCCCCACCAGGAGGGCCACCTCAGCCCACCTGCTAAATTCCATCAACTCCGAGGATGGGCTAATGGGGCTCTAGTCAGAGTCAGGGTGGAAGGCTGCCTCCAAGAAGCCTCCTTTTGGATGTGTCCACATTAGGGGCCACCCCTTCCACAGGCTGGGATGCTGTTTTGGGAAAATGTTTCCATTCTATTGTAGGTTTAGGGCTTTTGTGGGATGGAGACACCACTTCATTGTTTTCTGTCCTTCTGGAGTAAAAGTATCTGGATGATAAAGCCTGGGAGAAACTGAAGGGGTTAGAGGAAGACAACCACCTGGTCCTTGGCCATGATCGCCTGTGCCCAGCTGAGCTTAGCAGCTTTGTCTGGGGCAGCTGTTAGGCCTCCATGGGCCTAGATGCCTAGAGAAGCAGGCTGAGGGACTCAGCTGCTGAATTTCCCATGTTCCATGCTCCTTTTGTCTATCTCCTTTGAGTTTAAATTTGAGAAGATGCCCATGTTGTCTGCTGTGGGCTGATCTGTTCTCGGAGCCAGCTGGGGTGAGCGAGACAGAGGGGTGCACGGTGGCATGAAGCAGCTGTCCTTGCCCTTCCTCCTCAGGAAGCACATGCAATGGCAGGAAGAAACCGTCCAGGGAGTAAGACACATGGCTTCTCCTCCTGGCTGCCACAATCAGTGCAACCCTGAGCACAGTCGTGGAATCTAACTGTGCCACAGAAGTGGAAGCAAATATAGAAGCTTTCTGAATGGGGGCATTAAGAAGTGAGAATGTGAAGTTCTCAGATCCATGAAAGCAGTGAGGTGGCTGTGTTGCCCCCATTTTTCTACCCTCTTTTCTGAACATCCACCTGCAGAAAGGACTTGCCAGGCACAGGGTGAGATGTCTTTCACATATGGTCCCAGAAGAATCCAGCTTACTCAGCGGAGCACTATTGCTGACAACTCAGCGATGCAACATCTTGACCCACGTGAGCTCCGGCTGTCCGGGGTGCTGTCCTCTCAATGGGCCAGACCCTGCCAGGGAGCTCTGTCTGCACTTTCGCAAGGGCCCAAAGCAGGCAAGACTGCCAATATTTTATCAAGAATGCCACTCGGGGGCCGCCATGGTGGCCGAGGGGTTAAGTCTCAGCAACATCACTATAGGCCTGAGTTTAAATCCCTAGCTGGGATGCTGACCCACATGACACAGCAGACCTCTCCTGTCTCCCCTGCTGCTCCCATTAGCAGTGTGTTTCAGTAAATCTGCCTGTTCTGCTCCCCACTCTATTGCTGGTGAAACCTTTCACCCCTCCACACCTTTAGCCTGCGCCCCACTTCTACATAAACATAAATCTTAAAAAACAAACAAAAAAAACTTGAAGTTCAGTTCTCCATGAGTGGGAAGGAACAGTCCTAATTTATACTGAGGCTGATGTGACTCCAAAGCCCTCTCTGCTCTTGCAACTGGGGGTGCAACTATCAGGGAGACTCACCTGGAGGGGTTGAGCGAACCAGAGACCTTCCTGCAGGAGTTTCCTTTGCCCCCACACACCCCACATTTGTCCAGCTTCCTAGGTGAGTCCACTACATGGTCACAGCCAGCCTTGACGCACTGGCCACGCACGCAGATCGCCAGAGTCTCTGGCCCGCACAGGGTGCCGTCGATCACCTGCAGCAAGGAGAAGGCAGGTAGAGCCTGCAGGTGGGCGAGGCCAGGAGGCTCCCCTCCCTGGCTGTGGGTCTGAGTTCAGGGGACTCACCTTAGCCTCGAACACTTTGAATTCACTCCTCCCCCGGGCCCTGCAGAACAACTTGCAGCGATCTCGAGGGGACACGCCAGCATACTTGGGGACCCACTGCAAGAGGTTCCCATCCATGTCAGTATAGTTGTAGGCATTGTACTTCTCACACTGCTGCTCCCGGAAGCTTTTCCCTACAGGAGGAAGAAACGGCATGGCGTTAACACGCTGTGCTGAAGCAGGCAGACCCATCAGGGGAGCATGTGGATTTAAGCACCTTCCGTCTTCCTGGTTTGGATCCGCCCATAGGACACAGGACCACTGTCACCTGGGCCTACACACACTGAGCTATATCCATGTGTGACTTCATCATAGGGATAAAAAAAAGGAGCATCTGGTCTCAGCTGGGTCTCCTGGGATAAATATTCTTTCCCTTTGGGGAAGATGTTAATTCCACTTTACACATGGAAAAATTTAGACAGGAACAGGGAACAATTCAGTAAGCTTGGCAGGCACAAAAATGAGGCAGGGAGCTATATTTTAGGGTCTCAGCTAATGGTGCTCTACCTTAATTTCCTTGGTGATGATGGATGTGTAGATTTTTGCTTTAGTTCCTATTCCCATGTGTCTTAATGCTGGGTGAGGGACTCTTTTTTAGCTACCATGATGACTCCAGCTCAGCAAAGCCCTCCATGAACTGGCTTGATTTTCATTGGGTGAAATTAGGATGTTCCAGCCTCAGGCTGAATGCCTGAGTACCTGCACACACTATTTCCAATGTGTTCATTAAGTCTTACACTATATTCAGAACAACCTGTGATTTTATATGTCTCCACCTCACTGTCAGCATCTTGGTCCATGGCTCCCAAGTCGTGGCTTCATGACTTTGTGTGTCACCTTGTCCCCTACAAACAGCCAGCGTTTCCTCATACTTCTGGATGCTGCTTCCAGAATAATTTGTCTCAACAAGGCACGTAGTTTCCCTCAACCCTCAAATTAAACTTCTCTCATTCCATTATCTTACCAGGTTCTCCAACCTCGCTATACACTCAGATGGCCTGTGGCTACTTTTCCAGACATAGATGGCCATGCAAAGGCCATCAGGAATATTCCTGATTCTGATTCAGTACCTCTGAGGGTTCTGGGCCCCAGTGTCTGAAGAAGTTTCCCAAGTGACCTGATGGGACAGTGACCCAAAGGAAGGGCAGATGCTCTGATAGCTTTCAGGGTCATGTGATCTGACCTTGACCGCTCATCATGTTGTTTGACTCCATTAGAGTGCACACAGCCCAATCAGACCTGGTCTTCCAGCTGGCTCAACCTCCCATACTGCATCACTGTCTCTATCTCATTGTTCAGCCTTTGCGCTCCATGAAGCTTCTGAAGAGCTCAGGCTTTTCTTGTTTGAATTTCTCATAAACCTGGGGTCTGGGTTTCATAGATTAAACTTAAATTGCTTTGTAAAGTGGGTTTGGATCACTAACTAAACTGCCAGCTTCTTGAGGGCAGAGACCATGCTTTCTGCATTTCTACGTCATTGGCAGCATCTCTTATAGTTCAAGCCACACAAGAGGTGCTAAAAACCACTTGATTGAGATGGCTGATCCTGGTGCATCTGAAATCACATAAACTATTACCCACATCTGCTTTGTATGTATACTGACTACCCATCTACAAACCCCTCCATCTCTTTCTCTTTCTCGGCAGCACTTTGCCCTATATATCTTGCAATCCTGAGGCCAAATTTCTAGAACTTCACTAGATACAGTGCCAGTGTCTGGCATTTGGATGAAGCTCTCCTAAAGCTCTGCTTGTCTTTTGCTGCCTGCCAGTAATTGGAGTTGGATGGGGTGGTGGGGGAAAACTTACAATGGTTCCCTCTCATCAGTTCTGCGGCTGCCCCTGACTGCCTTCTGAGTCAATGTGCGTGATTTCTAGCAACCCCTAGGGCGGTAGGGCAATGTCAAGGGGATGCAGGGGCAGCTTTGCTCCCTGGGATGTTTGTCAGCCAGCTGCCACGGCCCTAAGGGGAGATGGGCAGCTCTCCTGAGAAGGAATGTGCACTAGAATCAGATTCAGAAATCCTCCCTCTGCCCTGGGCTGAATGTTGGCTGGAAAGATATTGGAGGTTTGGCTCTGACACTTGCTTTGGAAAACACTTCCATTTTGCATGCAGACGTGGGTTCAGATGCATCCAGCAGGATTATTATCCTAGATACTAGCTCTCTTCGAAGACTACCCCGCTCCCACCCTGGCATCCTGAGCAAGCTTGGTTGGGACTGACACCTCGATGTTCTCTTCTAGAAATCTCACTCCCCTCGACTTTGCTAGGGTCTTCAGGCACGAGCATGCTTTTTGGTCCCTAGGATCTGCCTTAAAACTACATGCCTGGCAGAGTCCACTTATGTGTGATGGTAGGAAAGCTCTGTCTTGTGGGAGACCCACCCTACCCCTCCTCTGGGGAATCAGCAAAAGGCAGCTGCCAGGGCAGGTATGGCTGAGGTGGCATTACCATCGGGGGGACATTCCTCTGTGCGGCACGACTGGTACTTGGCTCTCCGACCCAGGCAGTAGCGTCCTCCATTCTGAGGCTCGGGGTCCTTGCACTCGCGGTGTGAAAACTGGACTCCTCCTCCGCAGGTGCGAGAGCATTCTCCCCAGGGTCCCCATGGGGCCCAGCCTCCATCGACCGCGGCCTGAAACACAAAAGGTCACCCTGCACCGGGGGACTCAGATCTCTGGGTGATGCTATGTGGGAGGCGAGGTGCATTCTGCTTCTCTGAGTTCACCCTGCTGTCCCGATCATGGGTTAGTGACTGTGAGGTCCACTTGGCTGGTAGTTTTGTGAACACAGAGACTGTTCTGGACTGTTGGTCCCACCCCACCAGTGTCTAACACAGTGCCTGACCCTTAGTAAGTTGCTCAATGTAATAGTTGTTGAATGAAAATCTTTTATGGGAATAAGGTTGGGTCTAAGGCAGCTGTTCACCATCAGGGCCAGTTTTGCCTTCCAGAATCATTTGGCAATGTTTGCCGACATTTTGGTTGTCACAGTGGAGGAAGGCATACGCTGATGGGTGGAGGAAAGGGGTTTGGAGGACACCCAACAACCAAGTCCAGTGAAGCCCGAAGGTCACCATTGCCAAGGTCAGATCAATGCCGAGACTAAAGGGAAAAGTCGCTGGGTGTGTTGCAACCCATCGGCCAGCTACTGTTCGGTGGGATGGTAATGCCTGGAACACACAGAAGTGCTTCGGCTTCACAACCGACCAGGAAAAACAAACCTTTGTCTTTGACAGCTACAGAGTTTTCAAAATGAAGATAATTAGAAAAAAGAAACATCAGGCCTTTCCTGGTGGCCTAGGGGTTGCCTCAGGGCTAAGGCCCCAGCTCTAATCCCTGTCAGGGAGCTGAACCACACATGGCACAGCAGACCTCCTCACTGCTCCCCTCAGCAGTGTATTTCAATAGATCTGCCTGTTCTGCTCCCCACTCTGTCTTGGGGAATCCTTCCACCCCCTGCACCTCTGGTCTACACCCCTGTTCTGTGCATAAATAAATAAAATACATCTTTTGAAAAAAATCACAAAAGCAATATTTACTTATGTAAAAATTGAAAAATGCAGAAAAGTGTAGAAAAGAAACGTTATTAAATAAACACCCCTCCCCAGATAAATTGGCAGAGATTTTCATCAAAATTTTTTCATGCTTTTGCTCAGAATATATGAACATCAAGATGGACCATTTCTATTTTACAAAGATAGGGTTCTGTCATGGCTATCATATTTTAGGACTTTATTTTCCCCTAACATATAGAGGACTAACCTCACCCCAGAGTTATTTCATGCCCACATCCCCTCTTGCTGAACCTGGCTTTGGTGCTGGGGAACACTGGAGGCCCCCCTTCCACCAGTAACATGTGAAGTCTCTCCTGGGAGAGGATGGGACCTAAGAGCAGTTCGTATCGAGCAGGGAGGTGAGCGATGGCTGAGGATGAGGTCACGAAACCTGCCCAGCTCTGGCTAGGAGAAGGTGTGTGGTTCCCTAGGCTCAACAAGTGGCCTGAGGCTCAGAGTGAAGGACATGCCACTGAGGACCATCCTCTCAGAGAGGGGGAGCTAGGTGGGCACTGGGCTGGGTCCCGGCTGTGGGCACAATGGATGCTGTTTCCCAGAGATGGCTCAACTCTCGCAAGATGAGAAGTGTGGTCAGCCCCACAGTTTGGAAGTATTAGGAGCACGGCACAGAAGTGAATCATTAAAAGCTCTCCCTGGCATGGCCTTGTTTTTTCTTGCAAGTTGACTCTGTCCTGGGCCAAGTTTTCTCTGCCTGGTCACAGCAGTTCTAATTTCTCCTCTTTGATTAGGGAAATCCCACAATTACTCTCACTCTCCTGACCTCTAATTATGAACCCAGCTCAGACGTGGGTAGGATGGGAGTACTTTCTCCTCAGTCCTTCACTGACTATTTCTCTTCTGCTGTCACTCTATCTGTTTACAATAGAAACCATAAGCTCCCGCTTAGTGCATGCCCACCGTCTGGACCTTGTGAGGAGTTTCTCATCCATCACCAAGCCTCACAAGCTTTCAAGTCAATTCCAAAGCCATTCCAAAGGGGGTTTTCCCAACAGGCCCAGAGCTCTGCTGTGTCACTCCATTCACTAGAAGTCAGCCTCCACGGACTTGGAAAGATGCACTGGAATAAATTAGCATTGCTATGTTTGTTAAAAGATGAGTGATCATACTTAGAAGTCAGCTGCAGTCTGGCCCCAAGTCTCCTAGTTCATGGCTCCCAAGTGTGAATTCCTCCTTGACAGCCCCCCACCCCCACCCCAGCCCTTGTCAAGCCCTCCCTCTTCCTACCCCTCCCCTCCCCAGCACTGGCCAGCCCCTTCTCACCTTGGGCCTCTCCACTTCCTCCTCCAGCCGGCAGCTGCCCTCCCAGCAGAGGTGACCAGGCCCACAGGGCGTACCGTCAGCCCAGGGCAGGCTGCCGTTCTTCGTGTGGCAGAGGGGCTCGGCGCCTTCGGTCTGGCACCAGAGCTGGGCACAGACATCCTGCGCAGACGTGTTGGGGCAGTGGCGGAAACCCTGCCCGAAAATCTGCTTGCATTGTTGGTCCAGCCCATAGAGGGCGCTGCGGCCCGGCAGGTCTGTGGGAAGGGGCAGGGCGGAGGTGGGAGCGTCCAGGAGGCAGTCTCCTGAGAAATGGAGGAAGCAGAGGAGCAAGAATCAGGGCTGGAGTCGCCTTCTCAACTCTAGTGCTTCCCAGATTACACTTACATTCCCAAGACGGGGTTTTAGGTCTAGACATAACATAAACCTTCACCTCAAGAAAGCATCAACAGTCAATCATCTATAAAGATTCATCCAATTGTTGACAATTTTTTGGGTCGGATTGAATTTCTGTTGTTGTTCAGAGCATCTAGCATTCATTCTGTGCACACCTGGGATGTGCTAGCTCCTTGTCTTGTTACACATGGATGGAATCACAAATCTGAGGGGGATTTAAACGGGGTCTTAAAACACCTGAGGGCAAAATCACACCCAAGTGGTGATGTTCAGGTAATGAGATTTTTACATCATCAGTGAGAAGAAGTAGAATAAATTTTCACTGCTGAACACAACAATTGCAATGGTTTCAGCTAGCATAGAACCCCTGACCACCTTACTGTCCCCCTCCCCCCCCGTGCCCTATTTCCTGCCTTTGCCATTACATATATATATTTACATTATCCTTCATTTCGTACCTTTTTTTTTCATCTCAGCTGTAATCCCTGTGAACAACCTTTGCCATTTCTTTTTTGTTTTTTTTTTAAAGATTTATTTATTTATGCATACAGAGGCCAGAGGCACAGGGGCAGTGAGATGATTCAGAGACAGGTGGGGAGCAGAACGGGCAGATCGTCAAAGTACACTGCTGAGGGGAGCAGTGGGCGGGTCAGGAGAGGTCTGCCACGCCATGTGGGTCACCTCCGGGGCCGGGGATTGAACTTGCACTGAAGTGGCAGCATCCACCTTGCATGCTGCGTCCCAACCCATTGTGCCACCAGGGAGGGCCCCCTTTGTCATTTTTAAGTTACAGATCCATTATGCCAGCCCTAGAGACTGTCTTCTCTCTCCTATGCCACATTCTTCCTTTCCTTCCTGCTTTGTTTGCTTCCTCCAGACAAACCTTTGACCAATTCTACCTGCTGGGTGACGACTAATCTAAATCAGAAGCCAGGCTGCTGGAAGACTGGGCCAGGAGGAGTATACTCAATGGCCAGAATGCTTGGCACACGAGGCTGTATGAGGGACCCATCTCTGTAGTCTCTTCTACAAAATGTCTAGAACATTTTGTGATGTGACAGAGCACAGGCAGAAACGGCACCGATGTCAGCAGCAGCCTGAGGAAGCTGCCTGCCAGGGAGAGGCCTGAGGACGCCTACCGTGCCCGCTGTCCAGGAGCTCCGTGAGGTACATGGCGCTGCAGGGGGACCAGGGCAGCGTCTTGTTTAGGTGGACGAAGAGGGGCGCCATCATGTGGTGCTTGCCCATGGGCCCAAAGAGCCTCGAGCAGGGCTTGGAGTCATCGTGAGGCATACTGAGGACGTGCCCTGTGAGGAGAGACCCTCCGTTCATGCCAAAGGCTCCTGGCTATCTGCCCTGCCCTGGGACTGGCCACATGACCCCCACCCCTACCCCTGCGGGAGACCCATGCTCTGCTGACAAAAGAAGGCTTAACCCATAACCTGCTCTTCATGGGAACTACTGTTCCCCTCTTAGTTGTGTTTCAGGTTTCACAGGTTATTTTCCGCCTCAGTCTGTCCTAAATCCACACTCGCCTCAATCACTCTCTTGTTTCTACTCTCCTTTCTTTACAGTCCATCTTCCCAGAATCCTGTCTACTTTACTGAGGCATTTGGTTCAGGTTTTGGCCTTTTCCTGGTGTCCTCTGATGAGGGCAGGACACTTTTACTATTTTGGCCTTCTGCTCGGGTGGGCGTGGTGAAAGCACAAGATGTATTTGTCTACAATCACTGCGCCGGCTGTGTGAGGGGCAGGGGCTTGGCATGAGGGCTGCGTGTTCCTCAGGCCCTGGGCTAGCCTGGGCGGGAAGAGCACATCCCACCGGTGCTGTCAGTGGGCTGGGAGGGCAGGGCTTACCCAGCTCGTGGGCCAGAGTGTAGGCTGCCTGCAGACCTTCGTCCTCGATCACAGAGCAGCTCTTGTTGGGGTCGCAGATTGTGCCTATGTCGGCCACGCCCAGGGTGTCGCACATCCCCTCCTTCCCGCAGAAATTCTGCTCAAAGGAGAGAGTGAGAGCATGAGCACAGACAGAAGAGAAGACTCTCCCTACTCCTGTTCCTCCTGAGATAAAGGGGAGTTTCTAAAAAGATTGATTTATCTATCCATACAAGAACTGGGGTACAGGCCAGAGGTGTAGGGGTGTGAGAGGATTCACCAGAGACAGAGTGGGAAGCAGAATAGGCAGACTGAATGAAGTACACTGCTGAGGAGAGGGAAGGTCAGAAGTCTGCCACGCCATGTGGGTCACCTCCCTGGCCAGGAATCAAACTCTTGCTGCAGTGGCTGCCGATAGCTTCACAGTGCTGCTCTAAATCCATTGCACCACCAGGGAGGGCCCCGAGAAAGGAAAATTTTAAAGCCAATGTCTATTAGTGTGTATAGGACTCTCATGCTAGGGAGCTGTTTCTCTTTCCATGTTGGCGTTCCTAGAGCTCACAGGAACTGTGAAAGCTCATTTGGGAGGTAGACAGCAGAGCAGCCGAGAGCACTGACCTGTGGCAGGACAGCCTTGGCTTGGCTATGGTGCTGGCCCTCGGCCTCAGTTTCCTTGATTATAACATGGAGCTAAAACTTGTGGGGTGGCTTTGCAGATGCAGGAGTGAAAGGGGCCTAGTCCCTGTGGTTTTACTCTCTTCGTCAAGAAGCTGTACATTTAAATTGCCCCAGATAGGTGAACAGGTGTCCGATTCAGGGAAACCTCAAGGCAACACCCTGGTTACCTGCCCTATTTTAACAGCCATAGAAGATGAAGTTCTCTCTTCCTCCAATTCGAGATCTCTCTCTCTCTGGGCAGTTTGAGCCCATTTCCTCTTTTTATGACCTCAGCAGACAGCTGGTCACAAACTTTTGGAAAAGAGCCCTTCTGAGATTCCTTTCCTTCCCTTGCAAATACCTCACACTTGTCCTCATGACCTCCTCCTCGTCATTCCACATTTGAGGCTCCTGGCGTCCAGCTGGGACCAGCAGGGAGACATTTCCCATGTTTGGGCAGGCCTGGTCCTGGCTTTGATCTGCCCATCCCGCCTCCCTCCCTCTCCGGGGTTTCTGGAGCCAGCCCACAGACCTGTCTGGTGAGCAGGATGGCCGTGTCGAAGTGCTCTGGGTGCCGGTCACTGGGCTGGTTGAAACGCCGTTGCCAGCTGCAGAAGTTGCGCAGAGTGAGCCCCCCATTGTCGGATACTTCTGGACCCCATTTCTCATCTTCCACTATCAGCACTTTTACCACCATCAGGTTGACGGAGTTCCTGATGCTGGGATGCTTATAGATGCGGGCTGCCACGGACATCAGTGTCAGGATGTGGTTCTGCAGGGAGGAGGGAGCAGCAGAGTGAAAGTTAAATCCTGCCTTTGCCTACCCGCAGCCACCACCCCTTCTTGTGCATCCCACGTGCCCAGGCTCTGTGCTGAACACCTGGGGAAGACCCCTGAGACCTTGCTGTTATTTACCTTCATTTTCTATGTCAAAAAAAAAAACGAGGTTTAGTGATTGACCAAACATCACAAAGCTAATGAGCTTGTGGCCAGTATTTGAACCCAGACTGCCTGGACCCCAAGCACTTGCACTTGACATCTAGAGCACTTACATGTGGCTGTGTAAATTTAAGTCAATGACAATTCAGTATGATTAAAATGACAGTTCTCTATCACACCGGATACATTTTAAATGCATTAAGGGCTACTGATGGCTCTTGGCTATGTATTGAACTGAGCGGACAGAACATTTCCATAATCACAGAAATTTCTGTCTGACTGCACTGCTTATTCTGCTTTAACCTTGACATCAGCTGCTTCCCTGCCAGTCACCCACAACCTTCTCTGTTCTCAGCCCAGAAGCAATGATCTGAGTGCTTGAGGTTAGCAGAATTTCCCTCATAGAATCTAGTGGAGTATGTCCCTAATACCTGTTGGGGGTAAACTCTTCAGGATGGATGGTTAACTGTGAGAAGTTTCCTCTAACAATCACTACCTGCATTAGCTACCCTGTGCCAGTCTGGCCTACACTTTTCATATGCCACCTCGTGAAATTCTAACAATAATGCTCTGACGTAGGTATGATAATTCCAGTTTTACAAATGAGGAAATGGAGGCTCATGCATGTTAAAGAACATTCTGAAGTCATACAGCTCTTCAAGTTAGGATGCCAGCCTGCGGGTCTGTGTCTGACACTCCTTCTTGTTAAGTCTTGCAGTGATTGGCCTTCTGGCTTTGCCATGGACGACGCCAAAGGGGTTATTCCTTGCAGCCTGTTGCTTGAGAGGATGCAGTGGACCTAATGTGACCCAGAAGCTTAGGCTCATACCTGCTTTTAGTCCTTCCCTCACCTCCATCCCCCATCAGCTAAAGGAGTCTGCCTTATCCCTTGGCTCCTGCCTATCTCTGCGCTGCAATTGCCCCAGGCTTTCGAGGAGGCCAGCTAGAGCCCACTGCTCTGCCCCTAGGGCCTCTAGAAAGGAATCCTCTTGCATCATTTGCAGAAGGGGAGATAAAGGGGCTGAGGCAGGTGTTTCTTGAGGTAGGAGTAAGGTAAGCTCAGTTGCTCCTCATTTGCTCTGTCTCTCTGTGCCTTAATTAAGCACCAGCTCCCATAAGCCTCTTCTTCTTTACTCCCATAGTCCCCAAGTTGGGAGTGGAAGGAGGGGAAAGGAACTGAAAGACTGGAGAGGGACATTCCATCAGTAGAGGCCATGTGTGGGCGTTCCAGACGAATCCCATTATTTGTGAATGGGATCTGTCTGTTCACCTCGCCGGCAGCAAGCCAGGTATTTTGTAAGCCCTACAAACAGGGGTTGGCAGGTTATTTAGAGCATCAAGCACTCTAGCTATGTTTAGGCTGATGTAAACATCTTATCAGTAAAGCTGAAACTTGGCTTTTGCTCCTGGAGTTGGATTCCTAAGGGAGAAGAAGCAATCACATCATTATGCAACAGGGGGTGCGGACTGAGTGGTGGTGGCTTGCTGCAGGCCCCTTCCTGGCCAGGTCTTCATAATTTCAGGGAACAGAAAGCGTCTTTTGGTCTCTTGTCCTAAGGGAAGGGCCAGAGTCCTCTGAGCCATGATGGACCCCTGGAATTTCTTCCAAGGAAATCTGCAACTGTCCTTGTATGGTTTCTTTCCTTTGAGTTCCAATTTCACAAACTCAGAGTTGGGGAAGATGTTATTTTATAAAGGTGTGATGATAAGAGAAGCCAGCTGGTCAGCTCGGGTGCAAGAAGATACAGCATGTATGCTCGAGCTTTAGAAGAGGCTGTGTCCCAAGCTGACCAGGTCAGGCTGAGGCTCTCAGGCAGTGCAGCCAAGGGGACATCGTGCAACGGTCTTGTCCCCAGAGAAAACCTAAGATATAGCAGGGGAGGGGGGCATACTTGCATATAGAACAGGTTGAGGCCTTGTGCGAGCTCTGGCTCTCAGTTTTTTGGGGATTATCTTCCTTTGCAGTGTGGAAAGCTTATCTCACCTTCTCTAGATACTAAGTAACTGTCCGGCTGAGCTGGTTTTAGAGCCATTTCCCTTCCAGGCAGTGGGCTCCACTTCAGCACATTTGAAGGCCCTGCAGACTGCTATCTCCGGGGATAATTTCCATTGCAAGAAGGCTGAACGGATTCAGTGTCCAATGCTGTTAAACTCCTAATCCTTGTCCCTCTTACTTCCCTTACCTATTTTCCCACTGGGAGAAGCAGTCACCCACTATCTTCTCCTTGGTGACACGTTTCTGAGCAATAGTTTCAGGAATACCTGACATTTGCTATACATCTTGCAGTTCTGCATGGGAAATGTCCACTAAGCTTGGATGGGATGGGTGTCATCACCTGTGGATCTCTGAGTCTCCTCCAGCCATTCAATGGCGTGGGCTTACGGGACAGCCTGACTCATGAGGTACCATGGATGGTGGGCCCCACAGTCACTCAAAGAGGTCAGGCCACATGCTCCACCACCTGGTGTCTATTTATAGCTCCCTGCTCACTACACAGGCCAGGGCTGCTGCTGGAGGAACAAGAATGATGTGAGGCCCCTTGGTGGAGTGGGGGGTCCCAGCAGAACAGACCCTTTCCCACAACCATGTCAGGTAGGTTGAGCCTATGGCCAGTTGGACTCTTGAATAATTTGGGGATCTCACGCCCTACTTCTCCTCAGGGGAGGTGTGGATTTTTCAGGGAGTCTACTCCTCTCCTGGTGCCCCAAGACCAGGAAAGGAGAAAATACCACCCCAGTGAAACAGGCTGGGACATAGCTGTCTTTGATTCTTTGAGATACAAACAAACAGCTTCCTCCCTCAGAGCTCCCATGGCAGCCAAAGCGAACTGTGGTGTGCATCTCAGGGAAACTGGGTCACAGCCAAACACATTTCCAGCTCCTTCTGCTCAGAACTCATCCATGAGGTTTTGCTCATTTGCTCTTCACATTGTGCATCTTAACTATTTTCCCCACAGTATGCCTGGCAGGGCGAGGAGGGGAAGAGTGGACTCTGACCTCACCACTGATAACACCACTTTTCGTTTGGCTCGGGCATCTCTATTGGGCTAGAGACAACACTGAGGAGAAGGTGGAGGGGGAGCAAAGGAAGAGGATGGAAACCACAGGGAAAAGAGGGGGTCTGCACAATGTCCTTCATTTCTCCTCATTGTCCAAATAGCCAGTTGTCATATAGCTTCTCCAAAGCACACACTCCCCAGAGCCACGAGGAGACAAGCTTAAACATTGTGAGCAGAGCATGCTGAAAAGGCTTGCCTCAGCCCTGCAGGGGGGCAGTCACATTAGTGACTGGCTATGGTGGCCTGTCCTTCCACTCTGACAATGTCATCATCCAGGACAAGTGTCCTAGTCTGTGCTCAGCTGAGCACCTTCTATGTGCCAGGCACTGGGTTGGGTGCTTCTCATAGTTGACTACATCCTCAAATCAATCCTAGGACACTGCTAACACTGCTCCTATGTGGGAGATACAGAGAATTTGGTAACTTGCTCGAGGACACTCAGTTATTTCTGTTTCCTTTCTAAGTCTGTGTTCTTAATCACATACTGACTACTACCCATCTTTGTTGCTGGAAAGAAAGCTAGAGCATGGCCAAAATGAACCCAATGAATACAAGCAAGCAACCCAATGAATACAAGCAAGCAACCCAATGAATACCTCCCTCACATTGTCAATGCACCCCTCCTTACTCCTTACTTTAATATGCAAGGACCTTGCATATTAAAGCATTTGGTTTGAGAAATGAAGCTAAAAAAAAAAAAGGTTAGGGGTGCTAACCATCACACAACTGAAAATCCAAATATAATTTTTGATTCCCCCAAAACTTAACCACGAATATATAACCTACTGTTGATTGGAAACCTTACCTATAACATAAACAGTGGGTTAACACACACTTCCTGTGTCACATATATTGTAGGCTGCATTCTCACAACAAAGTAAGGAGAGAAAAGAAATTCAGAGAGAAAACACACTTACAGCACCCTATTTGTCAATACCATAAGTTTACATCAGTTGTTTACCAGAAGATCTGCATATAGATGGACCTTTGCCTTTCAAACCTGTGCTGCTTGAGGGTTAAATATACTTCACTCTCTGGAGCAGCAAACCTGTAGCAAAAGCCAGCAGCAAAAAAAAAAGAAATGGCAAAGACTCTTCTTTTTTGCCAGTGGGAGAACCTAATTCACATGAGTATAACACTTGTCGTTCACCCATGAAGACTTAGGTGGCTAGAGGGACTGAGGACTGTATCTGTTTTGATGATTTTTCAAACCAGGATACTTCTGCGACTAAAAGAGAATCCTGTTGCTAATCACTCCAGAACTGGGCTGAACCAACCACCTGGGCAAAACTTGGTCACTTCAGTCCAGGTCTTGGAGAGATATTTTCCCAGAGGCTATGGAAGGCAGAATGACAGTGACTTTTTTCTCTGAAATCACCTGCTGGTAGCTTACCCGATATCCTGGGAGTTTTGGGTTCATTGTGGGGAAAATGAGTGTCATCTCTACACCCTCTCTGCTCTGATACGTGGGTGGGCAGCTCTCCCAGATGGAGTGTGTGCCCCTGCTCAGCTCACTCCTCTCTTGCTCCAGTTTCATCCATGAAACAATGGAGGTGGGGGGGCTGGACACAGAGTTAGTGGTCTGTTCAAGAGGTGCTCCCTCCTTTCAGAAGTCCCCTTTATCTGAGCCCCTTCCTCTGAAACCAGATAAGGAGGCAGGAGGCAGCGGCCCCTTCTCTGGAGGGATTAAGTGAACTCAAGGGTACAGAGTTCTGGAAAATTTCACTGTTGCTGAGCAATGAGCCCAGTTTCAACAGGGCAAGTTCTTGTTCCCAGGCTTGAAGGTGGCATCTGCTCTGGACAGGGCCTTCCATGTTCCCTGGGTGTCTTTGGTCTTCTGCTTTTAGGTCCCTGATCTTAGAGCATGGACAAGTGTTTGAGGGTAAGGTTCAAATAGTCATTGGTCCTATCCTCTGCTAAAGAGGCAGCGGGGCACAGTGAAAAGAACTGGACTAGAGTTCTGGAGACGTGGTAGACTCTGGCCTGCCACCTAGTAGCCGCACAACCTTGAGAAGGTCAGCATCTCCTGTGAGTCTTACCTTGCAGGTTGGCAGTGAGAGAATGAGACCAAAAGGACTGGCCCATTGAAGAGACATTCTTTTAGGTGTCAGACCTAGAAGCAGACCCTGTAGGGAGAGGAACGCAGCCTGACAGGGACCTGATGCTCTCCTGGGCCATGTGGGCTGGCTGGGTACAGAGGCATGGCTACGAGTGTTCCAGAAACCTGTGCATGTAGAGGGGGAGGGATGTGACAAGCGTGCACTGAACCATCCAGCCTGGAGTTACACGAGGGTGGAAGTGTGAATAGAGCTCTATCAAGAGAAAGGCAGAATCTGAAGTGTCTGCATCTGATTCGTCTGGCGCAACAAACCTGGGAAAACCCAGCCCTGCTTCAGAGGCCTGGGACTCCCAGAGTCTAGCATCTGAGCATGTGTGCTTCTAGGTCATGGTAAGTCTGGAGATGCCAAGTATGTCCTTGAGGCAAATACTCAGTAGCTCAAGGGTCTAGTGATGAGCTGAGAGAGTGAGATGGCAGGCAGCATTAGGTGGGACATTTGGGCTCTGAAGCCTGGAAAATATGGCTGTTATGCTGCTTCTCTGTGTCCTTGTTGGCTGTCCTACCTCCTGGTGCTCAGGCAGATGTCAGAAACAGGTGCAGGCTGAGATAGGGTGTCAGCATCTCAGCCTCTCAGTGCTGCATTTGCAATGAATGTGCTTCAGGCTCTTTCTAGGGGAGCTCTTAGCAGCCAGCCATGGCGGTTCTAACCTGAGATGGGACAAGCCTGGGCTGCCACCCTCTGGAGGACTTGCTTGGGGAAAGGAGCCAGAGAAAGCAGCTGGTGCTCTCAGGGTGGGGAGATATTAAGTCAGTGTAGACCCAAAATCCACGTGGCAGGCTGCCTTGTTAGCTCAAAGCTGCCTGGCCACTCTGGGAGACTACCAACACAGCCACCAGAGAGCCTGTCCCTAGTTTAATTGGCTCCTCCCATACTCAGAAGAGTGACCCCAGACACCTCTCACCCCTAACGGTTACCTTGAATGCAATTTCCCAGTGACTGCAGCACAGGGCAGATGCAGTGAGAAACTAACTGTGGCTTGTCCGCATAGAGGATGACAAAGTTCTTGGGCACAGGTTGAGCCTAGAATTGGGTCTGTGGCCAAGCCTGCCATGATTAATTGCGCTACCAGGATCCCTGTTTCTGGGAACGCTGACTTCTAAGCAATTCTGTACCTGCGACAACTCTGGTTCAGTGCTCTCCAGGGGATGAGAAAATCTAGTTCTCTCCTGGAATTCTTATATTACATCTAGTCCTTGGGGGAGGTTGGGTCTCAGCACTACACACACTCCTCTAGACAAGTTCCACCATCTCCAGTTAGAAATAGTCTGGCTTTAGAAGCTGTTTCTTGACTCAGTTTTCCTGTCCAGCTCAGTGAAGAGCTGTGTCTGAGCTGAGAGCAGCTGGGGTGGACTGAGCATGCTTCTGGCTGCCTTGGGAAGATTAACTGAAGGAGTCCATATCCCCCTCCCTGCGCCCCTCCCTTTTCCACTGAAGGTTCAGTTTCCCCCCCGCTGAGCCCCCAGGTTCCCTTCTTGAGCTGATGCTGGCACTGCCAAATTCTACTGGGCTGAGTGCCAGGTTGGCAAGGTAGCCCATGGCCTTGATCAGAACCAGCTGGACGCACAGAAGTTGAGCAGCTCCTTTCCAGGTTCAACTCTCTCCAAACAATGTCTTTTACTTCTGGCAATCTCAGTTCTGTAGGCAAAGGGGATACAATAGCATCTCTTCACCCCAGCTGCCTTTCCCTGGGCGCCTCTCAGATCTGGAGACAGCAGAGGGCTGAGGAATGGGTGGGTGGCTAGTGGTGATGGTGGTGTTCAATTTGCATCTCTATTGGGAGAGACAGGTGCCGGGGAGCAGGTAGGGGGGGCTTTCAAACCCACTTTCAGTTTTGTTTTGCCAAGTGCTGCAGGAGATCCGGGCTCAAGCAGCAGAGAGGAGGCGGCACCACCATCTCTGCTTGAATGGGGAAGGCTTGGGATAGGTGTTAGGGTGTCAGAGGTAAGAAAAAGTTACTACTCTTTCTCTGAAAGATAAGTTCCTTGTCTGTGGTCAGTTTGGGAGGGGGAGCAGCGTGAAGGGCTTTTTCAGCGGGACTGCAAAGGGAAGGGTTTGGAGACTCTGGAACATGGCTGGGGGGGGGGGGGTCTCCAGGCAAAGCGAGTCCTACCTGCAGGTCGGCCCCATAGAAGGCAGCCATGGAAGCATCGGCCACAAGCAGCGTTTCCACAAAACGAGCCTCAGACACAAACCGCTTGGTCCTGCTCGTGGCCCCCAGCAGTGGCGGCGGGTCGCTGGCGCCTTCTGCCTCCTCTTCCTTGCCCTCCTCCTCCTCCTCTTTCTCCTCCTCCTCCTCCTCCAACTCGTCGTCTCCTCTCTCCTGCCTCTGGTCCTCTCCCTTCTCCACCTCCCACTCTGGTCGTGCAGGGAGAGGGTGGGCTTCCGCGGCAGCAGTGGCCACGCCGTGGGTTCTCTGGCGCGCTGCCGGCCCCCGGCGCTGCAGGCGGTGCGGCTGCTGCAGGGAGCCCCCTGCACCCTGGGGCTGGATGGTGAACTCCTCGCCTTCCACCAGGAAGGAACCGCTCAGCCCGCCGCACAGGCTGACGGCGGCCAGCGACTCGGGCTCTGCATTCACAGTGCCGGAGAAGAAGCAGTGGCGCAGGTCCTGCTCGCCCCCAGCCGCCCCGCCGGAGCCCCCGAGGTGCTCGATCTTGAACTCTGGCGCCAGGAAGCTGGCGTCCGGCGCCAGGCGCAGCACGAAGTCCTGGCCGAAGGCGGACAGGTGGAGCGCCAGCTCGCCCGCGCTGCCGGGCAACCGTGTGGGCACCACTAGCTCCGAGGCCGACCCCTCGGCACTGGGTCGGGCCGGGGCGCCGCGGGCGAGCGGCGGTAGCAGCAAGAGCAGCAGGAGCAGCCGCCGCCGGGGGGCGGCGCGGGGCATGGGGACTCCGGCTGCGGCGCGGGAGAGGGGAGAAGCGGGCCCGGCGCGGGCAGGTGCGGGCGGCGGGAGCGTGGCCCAGCCGCTCTCTCCAAGAAAGAGAAAATCGAGCAGCTCGCTGGCCTCCGGCGCCCGTAGGGACTTGGCGACGGCGGCGGCGGTCCCCGGGCGGCCCCTCTGGCTGGCGCAACCAGCTCCTGCCCGGATCGCCCGACCGGCAGAGCGCGAGCAGCTGGTGTCCTGGTCAGCCAGCCCGCGTGCGCCGCTCCTCCGCCCGGCCCGCGCGCTGTCCCAGCTCGGTGGCCTCTGCCTTCTCCCCACCCCGGGAAGCACCGAGTGGGCTGCCGATCCCTTCGTATTTATACTTCCTTTCCGGCTTTGACATAAGAGGTTTATTTTTGATCTCTCACTATTCCCGTTTCCCCTCCCCTGGGATCAGAGAGAAACTGAAAAGAGGGAGCGAGAGAGGAGAAAAAAAAAAATTTTTTTGGATGAAATGTAAAACCAATCAGGAGTCAGCAAGACTCGTCGTCCCCCCACCCCCCCACCCCTTCGCCTTCCTCCCTCCCTTCGGTAAGTGTCAACTCCAACTTTTTCCTCCGGGCTTTGTGCGAGAACCACTTTAACTCTTCCAGTGCTGGGCTGGCCCAGCAGGCGGAGTGCTGGGGGACGCCCCAGTTCCTCCTGCCTCTATGAGGCCAAGTACCCGGGACACACCCTCCGAGAACCTCTTGCCCCGGCCACACCACGGCCACGGGGGCAGTGTTCCGATCCCTGCTGGGTCGTATGGGAATCCAGTTGTGCCTCAAAAGAGGGAGGTCTGGGGAGAAGTTTAAGCTTTCAAAGTTAAAGCTAGAGAGAGGTGGGAAAGGGCATACTAAAATCCTGCTTCCCAGTAAACAACGTGGCATGGGTTAATTTTCACCTCAAGCTGGGTGGGAATGGAGACAAAATATCACCAGAGGTGAGGTTGGCAGCCAAGTGGTATTACCCCGGAGGGAATTAAGCCTTTCCCTAAGAGGGCAGCAGACTTCTAGAAACTGCTTGTTTGAGAACTCCTCTCTAATGCTGCTCAGTTACTGGGGGACTTCGGGAAAGGTGGCCTTTCACTGGGAACAATGGAGGATGACAGTTGACACTGCACACATACACACACACACACACACCCCCCCCCTACCTGAGAGGACCCTGAAACTAGGGAGAGGGGATTGGCAGGGTCTATAATCTTTGCTCATGGTGATAAAACACAGCACTTAATGGCACGCCAATGTAATGGCGTGGGTCTGGATTGGATTCAAGGTCTTGTTCTCCAGGTACAGGCTCTGGAGTTACCCCTCTCTGAGTTATCCTTGTGGGATATTCCCTGGGATCAGGACCTTATAGTCCTTTGCCAGCTCACATGACCCCACTACCCTGATCTCTGCCTGTGTTAGGGGCATTGATGGTTGAATAGCTAAACTTGTCCTTTTCAAAAAAGATTTATTCTATTTATTTATGTGTACAAGTGCTGGGGTATAAGCCAGGACGACTGAAATATACTGTTGCGGGGAGCAGCAGGTGAGGCAAGAGAGGTCTGTAGCTCCCTGGCCAGGATTGAACCTATGCTGCAGTGACTGCTGAGAGCTGCACAGTGCTGAGGCTTAACCCCTTGCACTACCAGGGAGACCTACCGATCTCTTTTTAATCCATCCAGGCCCTTTCAGTAGCTCCAGAGTTCCAGCACTGCATGAGACTCTCAGGGCAAGTTACTTCCAAAAAGGAGGTTCTCACAGCCACAAAGTACTTTTTGACGATAGATCCCAGGGGAAGCCCTGCCAAGTTCCCTCCCAGTGTGCCCTCTCACTGCTTGCTCAGAAACACAGAGGGCTGGCTTTGAATTAGATGAAAGGATCAACTTTCCAACCTAGCACACTGCAGAATCTTCTTTCCTGGATAATTTACAAGATAGGAATAACTCGAGTCACATTCGGGGAAACACTTCTGGAAACAGGGGAATGGAAAAAATGGCCTCTTTAACACTTCCCAAAATGAGCAAACCACTTCATCTCAGCACCGTGGTGGAACAGTCCCAGGGGCCTGGGAGGCAGCTGTGTTTCAAGGTGGTTGTAACCTTTTCATCAGGGTCTTTGCTTCTTCAAGTTCCTTACTGGCCTTTTTCCAGAGTGAAACTTCTGATTTTCAATAGCAACAAAGCCTTAGAAGTTTCCTTCCTTCTCCCTGGTAAACATCTGAAAAGCGTGGGGTTGAATGTTTGTGCCCTTTGCTGTCCTGAATGTATGTGTGTGACTGGGGTGGGAGTCTTAACCAGACCAGGGAAACTCTTAGTTATCCTTGGAAATCTCTGATCTCAGCTGTTTTTTTTTTTTTTTTAAATAGAATAAATCACCTCCCAAGTCAGGTCATTCCAAGTACCCTTTGGAGAGAGGTCAGGTAGTGAACTTGGGACTTTTTTCTGCCTCAGTTCAACCACAGCAGAATCACCATCACCATCACCATCACATCATTAGCAGCATAGGCTGCTCAGCTGGCTCACTTGGGGTTGCACCTGTCTGGCTGTCTCCTTCCTCCTGTGTTCCTGGATTCAGCCTTCCCTGAGATTTGCCTTCTAGAATGACCGCTGCCACTTCAGTGTGAGCTCAGTGTGCCAGGCTTTGCCTTAGCTATGCTTCAACCTAAGGCCTTGATGCTGGGCTGGTTTGTACTTGAAAGCTTTCAGGAGGACAGCAGATGAAAACAGAACAACAAAACAAATGCAACAAACAGACCGTGAAAACCCCAGAGCAGTGTCCTGCTAATTATGGGGATCCGACATTATTCCATTTGTTTCCCAAATCTGTAATGACAGCAGGGCTGGTGAAATCTTACATGCTCACTGCTTTTGCATAGTTTACAAAGTAAAAATGATTTTACATATTTTCAATGGTTGAAGAAAATGAAAACGCATAATAAAATTTCATGACTCTTGAAAATGGTATGAAATTCAAATTTCAGTGTCCATAAATGTTTTATGGGAAGGCCGCCTCAGCCACTCATTTACACGTTGTCTGTTCTTCTGCTGCAAGGGCATGGCTGAGTGAGCCTAAAATACATTTACAATCTGGCCCTTTGCAGGAAAACTTTGCTGACTCTTGACTCTGGAATTATAGTAAAGCAGTATTGATTTGGAGTTCTTAAGGTTGGAATGTGGGGTTATGTAGATTTACAATAGATGAATCTTAATGGAATTTCTTGCTCTGAATAGGAATAAAAAATTAAACTAGAAATATCTTTCTGTCTTTAATTCTTTGTCTAACAGTTATTATTTAACTAGACCAGATGTAATTAAACATTTATGCTAACTTATATTGTAGATCTTTTGTGAATTTTAAGTTTATGATTTAATTATAACTGGTACAACTAAAGCTTTTTTTTTAAAAAAAGATTTATTCATTATTATGTATATAGAACTGGGGTGTAGGCCAGGGGTGTAGGCCAGAGGTGCAGGGGTGGTGAGAGGATTCACCAAAAAGAGTGGGGAGGAAAAAAGGTAGATTGACAAAGTACACTGCTGAAAGGAGTTAGGGCGTGACAGGAGAGGTCTGCTGTCACCTCCCTGGCGGGTATCAAACTTGTGCTGAAGTGGCTGCGGCTATCTTCATAGTGTTGTGCTTTAACCTGTTGTGCCACCAGGGAGGGCCCACAACTAAAGCTTCCTGGAGTATATACTATGGACTTATACTATACTTATACTAAGCTCTGGTGTCCTCTAGGCTCTTCTTCATGTAGGAAAGGACATTAGTGGTCATAATCAGCTTCCATTCTGCACACAAGAAACAAAAATGCAGAAATTTTAGTGACTTGCACAAGAAAAAGGGACACTTGTACATTGTTGGTGGGTATGTAGGTGGTCTAGCCCCCTAAGGAAAATAGTTTGGAGGTTTCTCAAAATAGTAAAAACAGACCTACCATACAGTCCAGCAATCCCATTCTTAGGTATCTACCCAAAGAGTGCAAAAATGCTAATACAAAGGTACATACGCACTCCTATTTTGACTGCAGCACTATTTACAATGACCAAGTTATGAGAACAACCTAGGTGCCAATGGCAGATGAGTGGATTAGAAAGATGCAGTATGTGTATACAAGGGAATACTACTCACTCATGAAAAAGAATATTGCCATCTGCAACTACATGGATGGAATTGGCAGGATTTTGGTACTTGAAAAATGTCAGGAGAAAGACAAATCCTGGATGGTCTCACTTATATGTGGAATATAGAGAAACAAAACAAAGGCTCAGATAAAGCCAGACCAAAAACAGATCCTAGAAACCTGACTGTAGAATGGAGGTTAACAGAGGCAGAGAGGGAAGGAGAGCAAAGAGGGTAGGGTACCTAGCAGGGAGGGTGGAGAACTGTGAGTACCTTAGTGGGGGCATGCATCTGAATAGGTAAAAATCTATGCCTTTGAATCATATTTCTCATTGTTGTAGATCAGTGTTACTTTAAAAAAAGTTACATTGTAAAAACACATAATTAATGGTACTATGGTACCCTTAATTTAGGTATGGGTACTGTGGTACTTCCTGCGTGAAAATAAAAGAAACTGCATTACTTTAAAATTGATTGCTTATAGGGCCAGCTGTTATTTTTCTCTTAATTAAATTTACTTATAAATATTTATACCATTGTTCATTTTTTAAACAATGTTTAACTCCCCTCCCCACCCCAAGGTGAAGTCCCCTTAGACTTTCCTCCCCGAATTCACCCTTGCCAGGCATTATTTTAAGAGCTCATTAAAGTTAAATTGAAATTTAATAGAACAACAGCATCCATCATTGAATGCTTGCTGTGGGCTGAACTGGGCCGAACAGCTCACAAACATTTCACTTTATCGTCACAAAAATCCTTATCTTACCAATAAAGAAGTAGGTTAAGTAACTGACTTAAGGTCACCCAGTAAGTGGTGGAAATGGTGTTCTTAACCAAGGTCATACTCATAAATTGCCAATTAAGTTTAATATT